TTGGCTTTATTAAGCAATTCATGAATTGGGCAGCATCTCACCTGGCAAGCATAGAGATACTCTAAGGAGTTGCACAAAATGGAAGGCTTTCATAGGAAGAAGGGTGGGACAAGGAAGTTACTAGCCAATGCAAAGAAAGGATTATTTGGGGCCAGGATATCTTCCCTTTGGGGGGAAGGACGGGCAAGGGTTCTATCAGGTAGGTTGCCTCTCTTTCCTCTGGGGGATGGAGAGGGCCCACGTGACAGGTTACCTCATTGGTACTAACCAGAAAATTCCAGACCGGTTGATTAAGATTACATTTCTGGGGAAGGTCGACACTGCAATTAAGTTTAATATTAAATCTAGGCTTGGAATCATGGGCTTTAGCACAAGTGACGCCATTAGGGGCCTGTGGCCTTTCTCTTTAGCACAGCTAAGAGAGAGGCAGAGGTGGGACACAAATCCAGGCATTGCTGACTGCAGGGTCTGTGCACTGAACCTCACAAATGGTCTCTTTGAAAGATGTCGAGTAACCACAGGGAAAAGACATAGACCCTCTAACACGAAAGAAGACTCTTGAGGATTTTGTGCTTACTGGCAAATCATGTCACCCGTGGCAACCTGGAGATGACTTCTTCCAAGGCAACCATTCATTCTTTATGTCAAGCCAAAGTTTCCTTCCTTTAAATTTGCCTCCACGAACTTTCCGCGCACGGCCTTCCCTCCAGGACCATATGGTTAGTCCCAGCCACTTCTCATACCCCCATGTCTGCCACATGGGCCTCCTTCCTCTCGTGCCTGGAAACTAGCAATTCTGCTTCTGTCCTTTTTTGGCTAACAACAAAAAGACTGGCTTGCTTGAAGCAGGAATTTCAAGGGTACACTTAGACGTGTCTCCCTTTTCTTCAGTAACAGCATTTTTCTCCCAGGAGATTGAAAACTTCTTTTAGCTTGCAAAATTTCATCTCTCATGGCATCTCGCTGTTGTGGATAGGGATAGTTAACGCTGTCTGGAGCTTATGGTGACCCAGGCATGGCTTTTGGTTCTTTATCTGTATGAGCTTGTTTAATCCCTTAAACAACCTGATGGGATGATATCATTATTAATTATCTCCAAGTCGCAATGAGGAAACAGGCTCAGAGAAGTTAATTTCTCTCTTGTTTCCTGGTTAGGTAAATGTCAGAAGCAGACAGACTCGTGTTCTTGAATCCTAGAGCGGAGTTAGGGCTCATTTACGGTTTACTAGAGCCCTGCAGAAACCCACAATGCTGAATATTAACACGGTTGTGTCTACTCAGGCTGATAGTTACAACCCTCTTTCTTGCCAGCATTCCAAAAGGTGCGGAGCCACACTTCAATCACTTTAAGAAGTCATATTTGTAGACCTGAAGGCTCATAATCCATCTGCCAGGGGCCCCATATTAGATGAGGCAGGAAAACTGAGCCATGTTACTTGCAAGCATAAGCAACACAGTGCCTAAGCTGCCAAATCACATTATTTAAAACAGTTGCCACAGACCGGGAGTGATTTGTGAGTCCCCAACAGCACCTGAAATAGCAAGATCCACCAAGACTGGTGGTTTGGATTCTTTTTTTCTTAAATCTCCATATTCTTAACTAATGGCCTTATCATATTTGGAATCAACGAAGATACCAACTAAACTAACGTTTTCTTTTATTTTTACTTTGTTATGGACACAGGCAGAAAAAAATATCCATTCAGATAAATGGATTTGCATAGTCAGAAAGAAAAATTAAGAGTGATTCCTTCAGAAACAGAAAAGAAGCAACAACCTCCCGTTTGTAAAATTCTCTTTCATGCAAAGTCTAAATACCACCATCTTAGTGCCTTCAGCTGGTTATTTCTTTAGTTAAGTTCCTAGACATAGAACTCTGTGTCAAAGGATTTTATGGGAAGGCTTATAAGACACTTTGCCAAATTATCCTCCAGAAAGGAGTCCCCCAGCATTCTAGAAGAACACGTTTCCCACACTCTCATCCATGCTGGTATTATCCAGATGTTTTTTAAGTTTATCGCTGGAAAGTATGTTGGAATTCTGCTTAGTCTATTTTTCTTTACTCCTTGCATCTGCATTGCACAAAATTTAGCCCCACCTGCCTCTCTGATCTCCTTTCACACTTTCTCATCTCACCCTCAGCTCCAGCTACACAGGTCTCATTTCATTTCCTTCCACATCTCCTCCCACCACACGATCTTTGCACATGCTGGAATCTCTCTCCCCAGGCTCTGCCTAGTGGACTCCTATTCATCCTTCAGCTCCGTGCTTCACCGTCTCTTTCTTAGGAATGCCACCTCTGTTTCCTCTAACTAGATCAGACCCGCAAGAGGCTCCCTTCAAGGCTCCTCCCTCAGTTGGAATTTAATCTACTATGTGATTCTCTTAGTAAGGTTCTATCTCCATGACTAAATTGTAGCTCCATGAACCCACTTATTTTTCTGTTGTTACTCATTGTATTCTTAGCCTAAAAGTGCCTAGGACATGCTGGCCAACCAACAAATAGTATTTGAATAAATAAATTAATGACTATTAAGAAATAAATAGAACTTGCCTTCAAGTTGCTATTGACTCAGAAAGAGAGGTAACTCTCAGGGATCTTAACCCGCTGCGCTGGGAGGCGCTCAGTACTGGGTGGGGTGGACAGCAAACTTGCTCCCACCAAGAGACCGCCTCTGACTGGCCACCTCCCAGATGCACCATAGGCCTCTAGCCCCAGTCAGGGACAACAACCACCATGCCCATCCCCACCCCGCACAAGATGCCTCAGTTCACTCATGCCTGACCTTGACCCTCCCTGGGCCCGCACCCAGGACCCTGGGCAGAGTGAGGATGGCGGAACAGGCTGTGCACCAGGGGCTTGAGAGAGCAGGGGCAGGACCACTCGCACACCCAAGCTCCACGGCCCCTGGAGCATGTTCCATTGTCCTGATAGACTTCATGTACAAAACAGAAATTCGGAGATAAAATTATTAAGACTTTCAAGACAACACTGCAGAGCATTAAACCCCAAGTACGGGGCCCGCTGAGAGCTGGGTCCTGCACCACTGTGCAGGCTGCCTGCCCATGAACTGGCCCCAGGCAGAGAGGAGAGAGATTTAAGAGGAGAGAATAAGAAGATGACAGGTTCCATTGTGTGTATGTGGGTGTTTTGTGGGAGGCAGAAAGGAGAAGGAGGAACCTGAGACAACCAATGGTTTTCTGTCTTAGGTGGCAGATGGCAGTGCCATTAACCAAGAGAGAGACACAAGAAGGAACAGGCGTGCTTCTCCGTTTGACTCCTTCATAGTCTGGCGTTCTCCACTTGCCTGTTCTCCCAATAGACCTGCATTATCAATGGCAGTTGACTTTGAAAGAAAAAGGAAAGTTTCCTGAATAATATGCAAGACTTGAGCATGTGAAAAATCCCATGAAAATCTCTTGGCCCAGACTGATAATTGAGTGAAATGAAAATTAACTAAACTATTCTTTAACTTACCACTGAAATTAAAATTTTGGAGAATTTCCCTAAGTTTTTGTAAAGACAGAAAATCTTGACTTCTGTAATTTCCCTCTTGCCCCAAAGTGTTCAGTAGGTATGCATTCTGATCCAACGTCTGCGTCATACTCTAAGTAATGAATTAGCTGAAAATAATATTCCTGTTCAAATATTGAACAAGGAAGTATTAATTCACAACAATTTAAGGTAAATGTTTCCTGAAGCCTTCTGTATTTTAAAAATAGGCATCCCAAAGATGAAAGTAAACATGCCATTTATGCATTCATTCAACAAATATTTATACTGAAGAATCTATTGTGTGCTAGGCTGGAGGAAGAGAGAACAATAGAACATAGGCTGTTCTAGAACAAGAATATTATAATGGTGGAAGACCTCCAAAAAAAAGTGAATACAAAAACATGGTAATTGCTGGCTGTATTTTTCTTGCCCTGGCCCTGGAATCAGCTATTTCTCCAATGAACCTCAGTTCCTTTTAGCAGAAAATGGTGTTTAGAAGTTAGAGTCCTATTGTTCGTGGAGTTGCGCTGTTCCCAGGCTCTCAGTGGACAGAGCCCTCTCTAGCTAGTTATGTGGATACATACAATGAGTTTACACCAATAATGCCAGTTCCAATCAAAGGCCACAGGATTCATTCTGTTTTTCTCCTTTTCCATATGTATAGTGCCCCTCATGACAATGAGAAACTGCATGCCCATTATTCTCGATGTTGACTGATCTAATCAACCCCCTCTCTGTAAGTCCTCATTGTTGCCACCCCTTCTCCCCCACATATGCTCTCTTCCCCCCACCCTTGTTTCCACTCCCATGCTGGATCCCACTGGCGAGTGGGAGCTCTCCTCACTCTGCCTGTGCTTCACCAGCCTGCCCTGAGCCACCCCCTGCATGGCCACCCTCCTCACTCTGCTTGGGTGACAGCACCCAGAGCCAAGCCTATGCCCTCTTCCCTTCCCCTGGGCTCCGACTCCCCAGCGCATGCTGCTTCAGGGTAGATAGACCTCTTTACCCTGATTGGGCTGTGAACCCCATAACAGGCTACCCCTCCACGTGGACAACCTCCTTACTGGGCTTGGGAGCCTGGGGTCTTATCTACATTGTCAAATGGGCAGTAAAAGTGAAGAACAGAGACCACCAGGCTAGCATATGTATTATGTTAGGGGGTAGGGCAGGAGAGGAAGGATTTGCAGGAGGAGCTCCGCCTGCTGTAAAGCAATCATTACTCTAACTTTCCTCCTTCCGAGTTTATTAAAGACATTCATCGTCTATGAATTGAATTGAAACTTAACGACAGCGATCACTGTCTACCAATACAATGAGTTAGAGGAAGTTCTTTTGTACTCCAAATGTTTTTCCACCAAAAATAAGCCAAGTCTTAGGATATTGTATTGCTATTTTTCAGAAAATTCCTCTGAGCTCAGGTTGACCTGCAAAGGAAGCGGGTATTACTTCAGTGGGTTCCTTGAAAAGATTTTTTGTTGACTAGTTTTGTTTTATTTTTATCCAGACCCTCCCACATCCTATTACAGAGGGAAGATAAGTTAAACCTTACTCAAGTTGACTAATTGATGAAACCCTGAATAGTCTTCTCATCTTCCAAAGATCCTTGAAGGTAAAGAGTTCTCCCTTTAGTTACTTGCTAGCCTTCTGAGTTCTTTCGCTACATCCATCCTTGATATTAATGTCTAGGCCCCTCCCCTGATCTTTTCATTGCCCTTGTTCTCCAACCCAATCCTGATTTCCTTCCTAACTCATGACAAATTCTGGGATCTCACCCCGGGGGCCAGGGGATGACCTCTTTCCAGATTATTTGACAATCTTCAAGGCCCTGACACAATCTGTCACAGTCTGGAGCCATATAAAGAAAAAGAATGTGTGTGTGTGCACAGGCGTGTGTCTAGAGAGTGCAAACTATGGAGCTCTAGCAACAAGCTAGCTCTCTCCTTTGCCTGAGTCGTTTTCAGACGGAACAGTCACTTATTTGTCAAACTCTGGGCATGGCTTTGGGAGAAAGAGAAGATGACTTAGATTTAGAAGCAACCCAATGGCTTTTTCTATCATTTTTCCCATAGAGTAGATCTGCTCGGCGCTGGACCACTCTTCAAGTTCATTGTTTATTTGGTATAACCCAAGAACAACCAGATTCTGAGGGTTTATATCAGGGGACTCAAACTGACTGTTGCTGGGCTGAATCCAGCCTCATAAAAGGTTTATATTTGTCCAGAACAGCATTCAAGAAGTGAATGTGACTGTCTGCCAGCAGGGTATGCCCTCTAGCCTGCCACGGTGCCCCCCTTCTCTGCTGTCTTACAGAGAAGCCACCACACCCTTTCCACACACACATTGCCTGTGATGGAGCCCCGGTATGGAACTCAGCAGAGGTAGTCATTACTTCCACTGCTGATAATAATGCCTACTCTTCCCCAAACACCTATTTTCCTTTTTTTGTTATTGGGATCTTGTTACCTATCCCTGTTATTTTAAGAGAGCTTATATTTTCTTCCTGGACTCTCCTTCTACCTTTCATCATACATTCCTTCTTACTATTCACTCCAGTGCAGGCTCCAGTTGTTTTGGAGCCTTCCCTGTCCATAGTTTTTGCAGAGAGGGTGCCAGATTGAATCATGAGACCTGGCTTTATTCTGGCCTCTGCCCCTGGTAAGCTGTGTGATGCTGGGCAAGTAGCCTTGGAACTCCAACCTCCACTTCCCCATCCCAACTTGAAGGCATTGGAGGAGATGATCTCCTATCACCCATCACGTGTTACACTTTTGTGGGTGTTTTGGGTCACAATCCAAATAGAAGAAAATGGCAGGGGAAAATAACATCCATTTCATTTAGTGAACACATTAGTTATAGGTGCTGGGATACGGCGGTAAATAAGACCGATAACATCACTGCTTCTATTAGAGGACAACAGTAAGCAGATAAACAAAGACTGTCAGATTGAGATCAATGCTATAAAGGGAATAAAGCATGGCAGCTTGATAAAGAATGCCTGAGTAGTGACTAATGAGTCCAGGAGGGCATCTCTAAGGATATGACATTTGAGCTGTGACTTGAGTCAGAAGAATCAGTGAGCCATGTGAGGAACATTCAAGGCAGAGGGAACAGCAAGTGCAAAGGCCACAAGGCTTGTTTGAAGAACACAAAGCAGGCTGATGTGCCTGAAGGGCACTGAGCAAGGGGGTAGAAGGTACGAGAAGAGGTGAGAGAAGGAGGCGGAGGTCAGATCATGAAGGGCCCTGTGGGTTCTGATGAGGGGAATCCACTGAAGGGCTCCGAGCAGAGAAGTGACATGGGGCTGTTTATATGACTGCTAAGAGCAGTGTGAGTGGACGCAGTGAGTGGAAGACCCATTCCTGGAGTCGGCTGGGGCAGCGGAGATGGAGGAAGAGGCAAATTTGCTTATATTTTGGAAGTGGACCTGGCAGGACTTGCTGGTAGATTGCAAGGAACAGGATGGGGTGGGGAACAGCAATCCAGAGTCACTCTTGGGTTTTCGGATTGAACTGAATAGATGCTGTGTCACAGAGCTGGCGTCAGCAGACCCTCGAATCACAAGGATTAAATCCAACAGGCTTCCCATCTTCTTGCATCTCCTTGCTCACCTTATAAACATCAATTAAGACAGCTTTGTTCTTTCATTCAGCATATATTTATTGATTGCCTACTACTACATGTTACTTTTAAAGTAACATGGCTATTTGGTTAATTTTAGTGTGACTGTTTTAAACAGCTTAAGTTGGAGTCTCCTTAATCAGCAATCTAAGCTACCGATGAAACAAATTCTTTTTTTAACATTGGCAAGCTATTTGCAACAAATGAAGATGCCTCAGCTTCATGCCAGCTGTGAGCAAATAATTTTGGTTCTCCATTTGTAATATTCTAGAAATCCATAGAAGATAGCCAAGATAAGGTTTGGGAATGTCTTGCCCTTGTCAAACTCTGTCCAGCTGCACAGCTTGGCTCTCTCAATTGGAATTTCATCTCCCAGCGAGGAAGGGCACACGTTCAGAGGACTCTTCTGGCGTCTGCCACTGTGTCTATTAGTAGGGGATGTCCTCAGTCTGATCAGCTCCTTAGAACCAATTGCCCTCATTGCTGCTTTTGTGGGCACAGGTCTGAGTACGCTCCACACAGTGTTTTTAAATATTGAAACCTGCAGCTGAGATCACCACTTAGAAAACTTCCAGTCAGATGGAGTTATGCTAATGAATTAAGTGAGACCCTTTATAAGTGAGCCAAAAGAGAAGTGAAGCCTGTTTAAATGGCTTGAAGGGGAAAAAAAAAATGAAATCTCCACCAACTCCTGATAAATAGTGGCTCTAAAACTCACAAATTTGTTTGTTTTATTCCACCCATGAACCCTGACTTATTCAAATGTATAAATACTTCTGCTCCCTTGGGATTATCTTTTTAAGATTCTTCAGATAAACAGGTGGCTCACTTCCAAATGGCAAAAGCCTCATTTAGACTTAGAACATTTTCAGCTGCTGTTTGTAGACATTTCTGCTCATTTCCACTTGAGCAAGGATAGAAGCCCAAGCTCATGTCCCAAGTTCACTCCTAGCATCGGCCACTCGTGTGATTGCAGCCACATGGCAAAGTCATCTAATTTTCATACCTTGAGCAGCTCACAGAATAGCAAATATATAATCTTCCTCACGCCCTAGATCTCACCCGCCCAACGTCTCAATACTCCCAAGATGAAAGCTATTATACCAGAGTAATAGGGTATCAAGTAAATGCTTTTTCCTCTTGTAGGGAATTATGCTAAGACGCAAAGAAGAGGGAAAAGGCACCACCACATCCAGCAGCTGGACCCAGCCACCGCCCCGCAGGGTTGCTGGAGAAGCTCCAATTCAAGAGCAAGCCATTCTGCTCCCCAACCCACCCGCTCCTAACTTCAGTTTCTATAGGAAGATGACCAGGAGGGAGAAGGGAAGTAGTCTCTTCTCCCCAAACTCTGGACAGGAAGGGAGTCTTGCCTCTCTTTTCCTCTCTTTAAATAGATCTGTGTCAGGCTGAACAAGGGAAGGGAGAATTGAGAGAGAGGGCAGGGCTGAGAGGGGGCAGTAGAGGAGTACCCTATACACCCACCATTTGGCATAAACATCCCTTGGGGGAAAGGGACCATGAAAGGTCACTAGGACTGACTGTCTATCTCGTAGCCCGCCCAGGAGAGAGCCACCTGCTGGAGGAGGAAGTGCTGCTTCCTCTGCCTGGAACACGCCTTTCAGCACCGATCCTTGTCATTCATTGCTCAGTTCAAATGTCATCTCCTCAGAGAGGCCTCTGCCCTCTGGATCTGATGCTCCAGAGCAAGAGTATTCATTCATTTGGGTGGAAAAAATGGAGCATCAGAAAGTGCACCTTAGGTGTCCATTTTATCACCGTCGAGCAAGTCCTCAATGGCCTGTTTTGAGGCCTAGAAAACGTAAGTATGAGACTATTGGGCTTCCTCCAGGATGTCTGGGAAGTAGGAGGGCAGAGATTGACTAGGATAAAGGAAGTACTTATTGATATTTCAATTAGATGGTTCAACTAATTTAACTACTAAAGAAAGTGGTGAGGATTATTAGATAATTCATAGATAAGGGCATCTCCATTCCCAGTGGTTTTGTGCATGGGAAAGGGCAAGTGATATTTGCTGCTAAAGAATTTTTCTTCTTACCAAGAAACTGAAATCACCTTTACCAGGGTAAAATGCTTCTTAAAGCTCATTATTTTGTTTAGACAAGTGAAACATCTAGTATTTTTCATCTAACTCTTTAAGGACACTCTGGGGTTAAAATTTGCACTTTGAAGGTAAGCTTTTCAGCTCTCATCTCCCTGGTGACAATGGCCCTGTGCTACTGTAATTTTAATGGTTAGTGTCAAAAGATCAGATAAGTCCCACTGAAAAAGACCTTTTCCTTAAATGTTTATCTTCTCTCAACCATATACATACAATGCTGTGTACAAGTTGGTATTCTTTTCAAATCGTATCACTATCATCATGTTGTTATTGCATTCCACAAATGCCAGTAACGTTCATCGTATAGTTTCTATGGACAATTCAAAGCAGTTTGGATATATCACTTACGTTGTTTGAGTTGGAGGCAGGAAGGCAAGCCATGTTCAGTGTGTCAAGATCACATGAGTGTGTCTGGAAATGTTTACAGAAATACAGATTAGCAAATAATGCATACCAACATGTTCAAATGTGAAGTTTTCACATGGACTTTGTGGTATGGGCCAGTATGATGTTTACCTTATATAATGCCGGCTCTGCAAGTAAGACACGTTAGTCTTTTTTTTTTAATTTATTAACTTTTTCCCCTGTATATTCTTTTGTGTAAACTCAAAAGTAGCCATCAACACTTGTATAGAGAGGATGTAGTCCGTTGCATGAGAGACTTAGAAGAAATGCTTAGAGTTAGACTATTGAGCGTGCCTACCTCAGTTTCTCAATAGCTGGTGTCTTGGTTTGGCCCTTCTTAATACTCATTAATTCAGAATTTAGGTTCTATTTTGAGTTTCACAGTCAATCTGTTGCATGGACTATTATTTTGATATCGGCATTTAGATTTTATTTGTAATGCAAGGGAAACCAAAAGCAGATTTGGATAGTACACATGTAACTGATTTATTTAAAAATATATTTAGAATTGACCAGATTCCTAAAAGCATTCTTAAGCTCACTGTAGATGAATGGAGAAAATGTTGAATATCATACTTTTTTGTTTGTTTGTTAGTTGCATGGCAGCCATGCAAGCATTTTTATACAATGCAAACTACTAATTTATCTGACATTCCATGTCAAACAAAGTAGATTCTGTGGTGCAGTCACTGTCAGTCACAGGCCTGGTTGAATCTTGTCTTGCCCGTGACTCCTTATCCCCTTGCTCTGTTTTCTTTTCCTACGTGGCACTGACCGCCCTCTGATACATGGTCTGTACGTGTGACTTCTCGTCTCTCTCTCCCTGCATGCTCTCCATGACTGCAGACACTTTTGCCTGTTTCGTTCATTGTTTCTCCTACTCCAAGGACAGTGCCTGGCATGCTGCACTGGAGACAACCAGTGAGTAGTTGTTGAATTCGTGACAGAAAGGACGAACATGGGCTTTATTACCCGAGACAGGTTCAAAACCAATCTACCCCACTTACTGGTTGTGACCTGGGAAAATTCTCATTTTTAAGTTGGAAATAGTTTTTTTTTTTATTTTTCTGATCACAAAAACACATATATGTTCACTATGAAATATTCAGATAATATAGAAAAATAATGAAAACCAGTAAAAAAATATATAATCCCAACTCCCGAAAGTTGTCAACATTTTTAGTATAGAGCCCCTAACCTCTGACCTTAGTTTCCATACATGAGAAATGGAGAGTACAACAGCTATTCTGTAGGAAATGACTGCCCGTAGGTGCTGTTATTTATCTAGAGGGAAGACCGGCATGTATTTACCTCCAGACACATGGGAAATACTCTCTAATTTTGCGACATCATCAAAAAACTTAACTCCAATTTCAGAGGTTTATAGGAATGAATATTGTAGAAAATAGTCACCATCAGAAAAAATAGCCACTATCAGAGCTCATATCCTAAGAGAGAACTTCTAATGCTGCTGCTGATACTAAGGTGGGAGGAGAAGGGTCCTCTCAACTCCTTTAAAATGGATAAATACATGTGCAAATAAAGCCAACATTTTTAAGTGTTTACTATGGGCCAGGCTTTGTGTTAAGCATTGTTTTCGGGTATCTTCTCACCTAAGCCTTACAATAGTCATGTGCTGTAATTACTATTATTATTCCTATTTTACAGATGAGGAAACTGAGGCTTAAAGAGATTCGATAGCCACTTTTGCAGGTCATAGGGCTTGAAAGTAAGGAAACCAGAATGTAAACCCTGGATCTGACTCCAGAGTTCTCACAGAGCATTTTAGAATAACATCCAGTGTGAACGTGACACAGAAGGATGGAGGTCTACCTGCAGTCTAGAAGAATGCAAAATACGAATGACATCCAGGGGATCAGGGGATGAGGGTCATGATCATAGGCGTGCGCCTTCTGTTCCACTCTGCTGCAAATTTGAAGTAGGATTCGTCGGTCAGTTGACTTTACTTAAGATGAATCTGCCCATTGAATCCTGATGACCACTAGGAAAACTGGTGAAAATACCATTCGTCAGACTCCAAAGTTCAGTTGCAGACCCTGGACTCAAAGTGACTTCACCAAGCTTCCCCCTGAGGCCAAGACAGAGCCGTCACCATATCTCAGCTGTAGGGTCAGGGACATTGATAAGACATTCCATATTCTCCAGCTGGTTTTTGTTAGCTGATAGTGAAATCAAGAAAGACGATTGGAAAATATGTAGTTATGGTCCAAAAATCTTTTTATGCGGTGATTAGAATTTGAATTCCTTACATGTCAATTCACCCTTACTAGTCTAACGGAAAGATCCTTTGACTGGCTAGGCATGCAAAGGTCATATTGATGACCAGTCTGGTTAGAAGCTGGAGCATCCCAGGAGAACTCCAAATGCATCCTCCTCTGCCTCCCAGCCCTAGTGTGCTTTCACCCTAGGGCCTCTGAACTCATATCCTTTTGATTGCCTCCTGCTTCACCAAGATTCCAGTATCCTTATTTCTAACATCAGCCCAGAATCCTACCTTCAGTTCTTCATGGCTCCCTTTGCTTGAATGCTTGCTATTGGTATTCTTGACATTGGGCCACATCTCACTGTACATAAATCCAGAAATTGGACTCTTTTTTTTTGACATTGCACACCCAGAAGTAAGAAATATTGTTGAAAGAAGTAAAAGGACTTTGGCATTAGACTTGACTTGGGCTGGAATTCAAGTCCCATTATTCACTAGCCATGCAAGCTTGACTCAGTCTTGAAAATCAGTTTTTTATCCTGTGAAAATAGGGAAAATGCATCTTATCCTGCACTATTCTTGGGACTAAATGAAATGACAAATGAATAATGGTCTGTGGCAATGCTGGGACGTTATGGGCTCTCAGTGATCTTAGCCCTTTTTTTTTCTTTTCATAGCTGCCTGCATGATTTTCTAGACCAGAGGTCAGCAAACTATTTCTGTGACAGACCAGAGAATAAATATTTTAGGCTTTGGTGGCCTGTTCAGACTCTGTCGTAACTACTCACTCATGCCAGTAAAGCTATGTAAATTTGGGCCAGGGTTGTAGAAGAGTATTGCATTCCACAATCAAATTGCAGCCCAATACTGGAATTACTATAATTCAGTTATAAGAAGGTCTCTAACTCTTTATGTCTCTCCTGTAAGTCTTACGTACAAATGTAAATTAAACGGTTCCTTAGTACCTCATTCTGCTTTTCATTTAAAGGAAAATCTACAGTGGATCTGGGATGGCATCAACCTTCCTCAAATCTGTCCAGCTTCACAGTCTTAGTGAGTTGCTGACATATAATAGTTTTCTACTCCTCACAGGATGACTCCCATTTGTTGCAACAAGGAAAAAAGCTACTCTAGGTATATTTTAGCTATGAATTCAAACTGGCCAGGAAAATAATCAAAGAAAGGAAAGCCTCTCTAAATGCCTTATATAATATATACAAGCTTTTACAAAGAAAGCAATCACAAAGGTGTATAACTCGACTTTTTGTCTTTAAAAGCTTGCGCATATGAAATTCTGGTTGCACAATGCCTCCCCAAGGTTTAGCAAAACCCTAGATAATCTGAATTCAACAGCAACCAACGCAGTGTTTCTCTTTCTTCTTGGCTACACAGGTCATCGTGGCTGGTGAATGGTCCTGGAGCTATCACTATGGCAAAGAAAAAGGCGATGTCCTAGGTTTAAATAATGATAAATAAGAAACAGTGCTATCAATTTCTTATGGAAACTCTACGAAGCATCTGCTAAGTGCCATTTAACCTCTAAAGAATCCTCCAAGGTAGATTTTCCCCATTTTATGTTTAAAGTTATCAAGGCTCAGAGAATTTAGACACCTGCCAAGTTCATCTAAACAGCAGTTAATCAAGCTGGATCTAAAATCCTGGACTTCCCCAGCTCTGGATGACCATTCTGCTTGTACCACACCAAGATGTACCTTTCAAAGACTAGGAAAATAATTATACAACAAAGTACCTTGGAAAATCCAGCTCTCTCTTTACCTATTTGTTTTCTAATTAAAACTGCTTGTCCTTGACCACTACCCTTTGAGAAAATAAACTATGTCTTTCAGTTTGGTTGTGCCTAACAAACTTCTGTTTAAATAAATATTTCAGCTACAGTGTGGGTTATTCAGGCTTCCCTGAACTAGCCTGAAAATCTATCCACCCTTTCCATTTCTTTTCCCCATAATAAGTCTGCCAAATTCCTGAGGAAACTGACTTATACTTTTAGAATAATGTTCAATTACATATTATGGATGTCCAATGTCAATGAGTAAACACTGCCAGAGTGTTACATAAAGTATTAAAAGTTCTGCATTATATTTACCTGCGCTCATTTTATTAGACTGTTTGCTGTTCCGAATAGCTATAGTTTATGATTAGGAGAGATGGGACGGGGAATTAAGATCAATGTAAATCTCAACCTTGGATGTACCTTGGAATCATCTGGGGAACTTTAAAATACATGATGTCTAGGTCTCATGCCTAGAGATTCTGATATAAGGATTCTGATATAATTGGTTTGGTTTGAAACATTGGTATCAGGTATGCCAGGTCATGCCTAGGTAATTCTAAAGAGCAGCCAAGGTTGGGAAGGAATAAAAAAGAAACAACAAAAATAACCCATACAATGCACAACACCAAGAGTTAACTCTAAAGTAAACTATGGACTTTGGGCGATTATGATGTGGCAATATAGGTTCATCAATTGTAACAAATGTACCACTCGGATGGGGGATGTTGCTAATGGAAAAGGTATACACGTGTGGGGGCAAGGGGCATATGGCACATCTCTGTGCCTTCCTCTTAATTTTGCTGTGAACCTAAAACTGCTCTAAAAAAATAAAGTCTTTAGTACTAAAAAAAATGCACATAAAATAAATAAATAAATAAAAATCACGGGAAGAAAAGAATTTCTTCTTTAATTTGGTGATAAATAAATAAACATGGAAATATCACTAGGAAAATGTTCAGTCAAGATAAGACAATGTTACTTTAGGAAGCTTAATTTGAAAGACTTGTTATGTGATATGTGAAAGCACACTTTAAAAAGGGGGCGCCTGCTGTGCGCCAGGACTTTTCTAAGTGCTTCATGGTTGCCGTCTCATGTAGCCAAAATCCTGCTTGAAGTGCAACGTACAGCTTTAACTGTATATATCACAACTGGAAAATAAGGAAGACAAAATAAATGAATCCAGCACAAAACTCGGAAACTAAAAGATAACAACAAAGAAAATCAAAGAAAGAAAATAATGAAGGAAGGGAAAAAAAGGCATAAATCAACCAAATGGGAAATCTAAAGAAAAAATGAAGACCACTTAAAAATCAAATGTTGAAAAGAGAAATAAAATAGGCAAGTCTAATCTGGCAAACAAAACAAAAAAGAGAGAGAATGTGCAAGGAAGATTAGGGATAAAAGAGTCTATAGCGACAAATAGAGGGGGGAATAAAACAATTATAAGAGCATATTACAGTCAATAAACTTAAAGATCTGTATAATTTTTAAGACAGTTTTCTAGAAAAACATAAAGTAAGTTAGTTCAAAAAGACTTGGAATACCTGACTAGAGAAATGTAGTATTCAGCAGAGAAAACAAAGCCATAGCTCATTTACCTCCAGTACAGACATCCTCCTAAAAATGAAGGACGTGTTCTTTCCCTCTTCCCCTCCCAGGACGGGGAATTCCTGGAAATTCCACATCAAACTTCCCCTGCCAGCTCATTGGCCAGAGCTTAGTTGACTGCCCACATGACCAAGGATATTTGGAAAAGGTAAGCTTTCAGCTGGAAAGGGAAAAGGAAGGTAGAAAGGAAGAAACAGGAGGTGACTAGAAATATCTACTACAACCAGCAACAATCAACTGGATAGGGTAATGGAAGAAAGATATGACAGTTTTTTTAAAAGGCCACAAAAATAATACCCCTAGGAAATGTGTATCACTGTACCAAAAAGAAAAAATGTCAAGATCCTTTCCTGAAGGACAAAAAGGAGACCTAAATGAAGGCATTGGTTGACTCAGAATTCAAAGATGTCAGTACTTCCCAAATTAACCCATAAAGTAAATACAATGCCAATCAAACTTATGAGTTTGATAAAAATTCTTACAGAATTTTTCAAACTTGTTAAAAAACTCATATGGAAGATCAAATTTGCAAGAATAGACAAAGGAACTTGTGACAAAACAGTGAGGGAGCAATTGCCACCACAAATATGAAAACATGCTCTAAAGCCATTACGGTTAACAGTGTGATATTTGGCTTAGGAATAGATAAATAGATCAATAGAGTATTGTATTTATGAGAATCAATTTACATTCATTTAATATTTATTAATAAGGAAGCATTTCTAATATATGGGGAAAGCTTGGGCTTTTCAGCAAATGTATTGGAACAATTGGAAAATAATCAGACTAGACCTGTATGTTGTCTCATTTAGCTCTCACAACAACTTCACAGTTACATGTTACATAGAGACAGGACATTTAACTAAGGCTGACAGAGATGGGCAGCTAGGGGACAGTGCAGAGTCCCGTCTGCTGCTCTATGCAATTGTATTGTTCTCTGCCACCTCACAAAAAGAAGTAAATTTTCAGACATCATATGATTGATGTGTGAGCCCCTCCACTAATGCTGTGTATGTTATTCAAAATAGTTCAACCTTTATTCATTCGTTCTACGAATACTGATTAAGCACCTGCCTACTTTGGGGCACTTCTAGGTGCTGGAAATAAAGCAGAGAGCAAAAATTAAGTTCCTTCCTCATAGAGCTGACTATAATAAGAGAGATAAATAACTAAAAATATAAGCTATCAGAGAGGGATAAGTACAATGGAAAAATATTCCACAGAATAAGGGAGATAGGGAGTGCCAAGGGGCACAACGACCCTTAGGCTCAGCAAGAGACACCCATGGCCCCGACTTTAAAGGGCTCCCTGGCTTCCTTCAGCCACACCATTTCCCAAGAGGTTGGGAGTCTGGAGACCAAGGGGTCATGCCTACCTGGAGCCCACGGCACTCCCCCACCATGATACTCCAGGTTGCCCAGGATCCTGGAATTCCTTGCTGGAAGGCAGGGCCCACGTGGGCCTCAGTCTTCCATAAATGGAGCATGCCACCCATGTGTGTACCTCTAGGCCCAAGCAGAGGTCAAAGGTGGCTTTTGGGGAGGAGCAGGGAGGGAGCTGGGACAGGCTGACTGGGGTGTTCACGGTGTACGCATGAAGCCCTGCTAGGCCTTTAAAATCCTTGGACCTATTTAGGCAGGGGGATAAGGGTGGGGATTCCTATTTTATGTAAGTAGGCCAAAAAAATCCTCTTTGTTAAGGTGACTGAGTAGAAAGCTGAAGGAACGAAAGAGCAATCCACATAGGTGACCGAATGAACGAGTGAGGGAATCAGATTTAGAGTAACAGAAGAAAAAGCAAAAGCAAGTCCACCCATCCAAACCCAAACCATACACACCTTTCTATAAATGGGAGCCCTGTGAGAAATGGTTTTTGAAAACATTCTTTGGAAATCTCTGTTCTGTCATGAAGTAGTCAGCCTTTTCGATGGAGGTCTAACCCCTAGCAACCTCCACGTCACCTGCGCTGTCAGAGGAATGCCGCCAAGGCCTGAAACGGACCAGCTGAGTGTGCTGTGACTTCGGCAGCTATGTGTGGTACGAGGGGAGACGGCTTCGTTCCGCTGAACTATGATTGGGTGGTACGACGCCAGCGGCCAGGCTGGCAGCAGCACAAGGGACGGCACAGAAGTCAGGAATCTCAGCAACACAAGTTACATTAGCATCTCTGCCCGTTAGAGAGGAGCACATGGTTCCTTAAAAACAAATAAACCTCCAGCCAAACGGTTTTGCCATATTGAATGCATTTATTCTTTTAAAAAGTATACCCAGGTAATTACGCTGCGTGATTACAGTTATGTAGAAGAAGCGATGCAAATATAAAAAGAATGAAAAGGATACAAGTAAAATGATAATAATAGTTGTCCTTGGTTGTCGGGGTAAATTTTCCCTACATTTCTAATTTTCTCTATTGCATACTTATTAGTTTCATAGTTTAAAAGGGAAACTTTAATAAGTGAATTTTGTAAAAGTCAAAGCTCCATAGCTCCAAAGACAAACAATTAAATTTTTAGGCCTTATGAGTCTGGTAAGCTGGTTAAGTAGAAGATAAATATATTTAAATCATACATTTAATCATCTATTAAATATATGACCGTGGCTGTCATACTTTCATCAATAACCAATTAGAATGATTTGGAAAGACATGTCAAAATATATATATATATACACATATATAATAGATAATGTAATAAATTATATAAGGGAAAACGAATCAACTCATCCAAACCCAAACTAACCAGGAATAAACAAGAAATGTGCAAGCTTTATGTTTGTGAAGAAAATTTTTAAAATATATATATATGTGAGTAAATGGAGAGACATACTTTGTTTCTGCATGGAACACTAAATACTATAAAAATATCGATTCTCCCCACATTAGTGGACCATTAAAATAATTTCAGTAAAAATTCCATTGAGATTTTGCTTAAGAACCTGACATGGGAATTTTAATCCATCTGGAAAAGAGTAGAGAAGAAATGTGTTTAAAAAAGAAAGGAAAATGAAAGAATAATGAGGGAAGACTTTCTTTCCAAAAGTTCTATAACACTGCAGAAATTATAACAGCTTTGAAAAAAGTCACAGAAAAAAGAAAAGAGATGAAAGAGGACATCGGACTGTAGGTGCAGGACTGATTCGGTGATAAAGGAGGCATTCCCAATCCTGGAGTAACGCCTGCCTATCAGATGAATCATGCCGAGAATGGTATTGAAAGTAAAGAAAACAAAGTGAGAGCTGTACTTCAGGTCATAAGTAATATATAACTGTGCATGTGGATTAATGAATGACGAATCAATGCAAGTAGTAAATGGAAAAACCAGGGATAACCTTGGGATGAGGAAATCTTTCCTAAATGAGAAGTAAAACTCAGAAATCATAAAAGAAAATGACAGTCTTCACTATACAAACTGGAACACTCCTGTAAAACATTGTAAAACAACTTGAAAAATGAA